CATTGTTTTAGATGAGAATACTGAATCCCAGAGTGCTTGAGGGAGTGCATCAGCTTCCCTGACAGTTGGTGCCAGAGTCATGATGACAACTTCCTGCTGTTTCCATAGCTAGACTATGTCCTCCCCAGAATAAGAAGGAAGAGTCATGTCTATATTTTCTTGCAACTGAGAAAATTGCCTCAGGCGTTTTATATATTTTAAAATAAAAATAGCAATGGTAGGATAAAACAAAGAATTTCATAGAGGAGCAAAAGTTAAGAGCTATTAAATAAGAAGATATGTGAAAAGATTGGGCAAAGTAATTTCCTTGCTAACAGATGGTATGTGATTTTTTAAAATATTTTGTCTATATTTTTGGGATGTTATTGAAATATTTTGACACTGAGCTAACTTACAGAATGGCTGTTTAGCAAGCATGTTATCTTATAGTTGACTAGTTTGGATGTCTTAAAGTGTGAACATCTTTTTCTTATAAATAAATCTCATGTTAGTGTTAACTTTATAACATGGCACTGTGTTGGAAGAACAGATGATGCAAGCAGAAAATGCTCTGCTCAGGAATGTGCTGGGTTTTCCTTGAGGTCCTGCTGTCATTCTGCTGACAGACACTTCTGCAAATGATAAGTGAGCAATGGGGAGACATAAGTCAGTGTCGATGACAGGACACTAACACCCACCACAAGCTCTACATCTTAGTCAAAATGTCAGTTCATTTCCATGTCTTCAGCATATATGTGAATATGTAATGACATGAGGCTGAAAATGCCCACTATTTAGTCTTATTTTCAGTCTCTGCTTTACACATATATACTTTGAACAACTCAGAGACTGGGAGTTCAGGGAGAGGAGAGAGAAAGTTGAAATAAACAAAGAAAAAAGCATACCAGATTTTTTAGATGTATACGTAATTAAATAAAGGAAGGGTGATCAAAGTAGCGGCTCCATTACTGATAAGAGCTAAATTAAAGGATGGGGCTTAGAAGAGTAGGAATAGTATGTTGCTTAATATTAAATTCCAGAATTCGGCCTTCCCACCCACTGCAAGCAGCCTGCAACCATGCTAGTTCTCCCATGTTAGGGCTTCCCCTGTGTGATGGGTGGTGGGATTATCCAGTGAGGGAGGAGGAGAGGGGTGTGACTGAATTGCCCAGGCTTGCTCCTTTCCCTAACTCAGGAATAAGTCACACCATCTCCCCTGAAGTGCGTGAGGTGAGAGACAAAAGCCTAAGGACTTGCAGGAAACCTTCTTCCTCTTAGAAACCATAGGAGTGATCAGCAAGTGTTTCTTTCCTTCCTTGGGGGCCTTAACTGTGAAGTTAAACTTCACTGTGTCCAGAAAGGTGAGAGAATGAAAGGTGATATATGTCAAGTACTTAGTATGATGCCTGGCACAGAGTAAGTGCTAAATAATTAGTACCTATTCCCTTCAGTCTGGTAGCATAGTGCCTGAGGCACTTGACTGCTAATCAGAAGGCTGGTGGTTCAAACCCAACAGCCACTCCTCGGAAGGAAGGTTGGGCAATCTACTTCCGTAGTGATACTGCCACGGAAATCCAAGGAGGGGTCGCTATGGGTTGGGTGCGACTCGACGGCACATAACAACAATTCCTTTCAGTCTTCTTTGAGATGATTCCGTATCTTCCTTTTTTGTCCTTATTTTACTTGCCTTCCCTAACCAGGTTTCTGATTTGGACATCTAGGTGGGTATGGTGCCATTCTCTGAAATAAGATAAATACAGGAAAGGATGAATTTATAAGGCACAGCATCTTCTCTTTCTGATATACTGAATTTGAGGCATCTGTGTTGAGAGCTCTGGTGACATAGTGCCTAAGGCATTTGACTGCTAACCAGAAAGCTGGTGGTTCAAACCCATCAGCCACTCCTCAAAAGGAAGATCGGGCAATCTCCTTCCATAGAGATGCCACCTTGGAAACCCACAGAGGGGTCACTATGAATTGGAACCAACTTGACAACAGTGAGTTTTGGGTTTTTTTTTGTTTGTTGTCAGTAGACATTTGGACTTAAAATTTTGCAAGCCAGGAGAAAATAGTTCATTTGTAGTGAAGTTTGAAAACTGAGTAAATAATCCGAGAAGCTGGACTATATGAAGAAAAACGTGGTATCAGGATTGGAGGAAGAATCATTAACAACCTGAGATATGCAGACGATACAACTTTGCTTGCTGAAAGTGAGGATGACTTAAGGCACCTACTGATGAAGGTTGAAGAATACAGTCTGCAGTATGGATTACATCTCAACATAAAGAAAACAAAAATCCTCACAACTGGACCAATGAGCAGCATCACAATCAATGGAGAGAAGATTGAGGTTGTCAAGGAATTCACATTGCTTGGTTCTACAATCGATGCCAACGGAAGCAGCAGTCAGGACATTAGACGTCGTTTAGCATTGGGAAAGTCAACTGCGAAGGAACTGTTTCAAGTGCTGAGGAGCAAGGATATCTCCTTGAGGACTAAGGTGCGCCTGACACAAGCCATGATATTTCCAATCACCTTGTATGCATGTGAGAGCTGGACAATGAATAGGGAAGACCGAAGAAGAGTTGATGCTTTTGAGTTGTGGTGCTGGCGAAGAATGCTGAAAGTACCATGGACTGCTAAAAGAACTAACAGATCTGTCCTGGAGGAAGTGCAGCCAGAATGCTCCTTGGAAGCGAGAATGGCCAGACTTCGTCTCACCTATTTTGGTCATGTTGTAAGAAGGGACCATTCCCTGGAGAAGGATGTCATGCTTGGTAGGGTGGAGGGTCGACGAAAGAGGGGGAGGCCTTCAACGAGATGGATTGATACAGTGGCTGCGATGATGGGCTCGAGTATAGCAGGGATTGTGGGGCTGGTGCGGGATCGGGCAGTGTTTCGTTCTGCTGTGCATGGGGTCGCTATGAGTCGGAAACGACTCGACGGCACTTAACAACAACAACAACAAAAGCACTGCAAAGGGCTAAAAACTGAATCCCAAAGAAAGCAATGTCTCTAGGTCCATCAGAGGGACAGGGTCACATAGGATACTGAGAGGAGATGGAGAGGCCAGAGAGTGAGGAGCCAGAGCAGGAGAGTGGACACCACGAAAATGAAGAGAGAGGATCACCTCAGCAAGAAAAGAAGGAAGATGTCAACTGTGTCAGATGCTGCAGAGAAGTCTACAAGATTAGGATGAAGAAAGACCAGATGGATTTAAAGGAAAGAAAGGAGCCATTTTTAGTTATCTCGTACGAAGCTAGGCACCATGCTAAGTACTTCACACACATATCCAATATTGAATTCAATTCTCACAAAATGCCATCCCCATGTTATAGATGAGGGCGTCAGATTCAGGAAAGTTAGTACCTTGGTTGAGCTCACATTGCTTGGACATGACAGAGCTGGGACTCAGACCCTTGTCATCAGACCCTTAACCACTTAGCTCCTCTTCCTTCCAGCAAACATGGATTGGTCTTCATAGTGAGTAGAAGCTGAGTGTGGTGGGTTGAGAAGGAGCCAGGGGAGAGGGCAGGTGAGGGTGAGGCAGAGAAGAGGTACTAACATGAAAGAACAGCGAGAGGGAGCCAGGTAGAGGAGGGTAGACCAAGGGCTTGTCTTGATTGTCTAAGATGGCAGAGGCATAGGATTTTTAAGGTGATGAAAACCCAAGTAGGAAGCATTCAGAGATGTAGGAAGCAGAGCATAGGTATGTGTAAAGGGGGCAGGTATAATCTCTTCTTTTGTGACAGGATAGTGCAGAAGCAATTAAGTTTGTAGATTTATGTCAGAAAATTGAGCAAAATTTCCTCTGACCTTATTTCCTTCCATCCTTCCCACTCTTTTCCTTCCCCACTCCCAGTCCCTTCTTTGGAACATTCTGCTTCCCCTCAAGGTTCAGTCTGTCATCACTCTCCCAATCCCTAAGCAGGATTACTTGCTTTGGGCTTCTGTGGCGCTGTCCACTCGAGCACCAGCAAGACCTGCCTATTCACAGCTTTGGGGAAGAGGTCCCCTGATCATTGTTTGACACAATCTTGCACAGAACTGAGCACGTAATAGATATTCACAAATTATTCAGCTTGTATTTAAAATGTAGGGGCAACCTGCAGAAGGTTATGGTTTAGGAAAGGACAGGATAAGTACACAGATAATAAAAGGAATACAAGGATAGTGCCAAAATATAGAGATGTGCAGGGTGCTGTGGCCTTCAGAGGGAGAGAATGTGTGTACTGTGTGAGTGACATCAGAGGAAGCTTTTTAGGGAGAGCAGTCTTGAGCAAGTTAGTGGAGAATGGACGTATTTTTGACTGACAAAGACCGGGTTGTTTCATTTTGAGAAAATGGCTTAAGAAATGGCACAAAGCTTATCTGGGGAGCACATTATGCTTCAGGTTGGCTGCAATATGGAACATTAGGGCATTTGGTCAGTGGTTCTCTGGAAGGGCATTGAGTGCCAGACTAAGAAATTCCATTTTATTTGACTCTCCTGATGTTGTTGTTGTTGTTATTTGCCGTCGAGTCGGCCCCGACTCATAGCGACCCCTCCTTGGGTTTCCGAGGCAGTATCACTACGGAAGTAGGATTGCCCAACCTTCCTTCCGAGGAGTGGTAGCTTCCATTTTTATTTTTATTATTATCAGAATAATTGCAGACATATTCCAAAGTGATTTTAAGCAGTCATTTTGAACTTAGCCAAGAAAAAGATGATGAGAGTTTAGAAATCACACCCACCATGTTTATTCTAGAAACTAAGCCAGTAGCGCTGGGAGTTTCAGGATGCCAGTATCCACCCAGTCTTCCAAGAACACTTTTGTACCTAGGGGTCTCCCTGCAGTTTTGCAGTTGCTGATTTCCCCATACTGCTAAGAGATGGGGCAAAGATAGGACAGGTGAGCAGGGAATGTGTTTGTTCCTACAGTTATAGGTTTGGGACTCATGCCGGGTTTCTTACTACCTGTAAATCACTATTCTTAATAAGTCTTTTTAGATAAAAAATAAAAATCTCTTTTTTCTTTCAGTTAAGAAAAAGAAGCCTAAACTTTTAAATAAATTTGATAAGACTATTAAAGCTGAACTTGATGCTGCAGAAAAACTCCGTAAAAGGGTAGGTTGATGTTTTTGTTTTGCGTAGAAGTATGCAATGGTTTAGTTGTTAAACTACGATATTGCTCTTGGTTTGTTAAAAAATAAATGCAAGAGAAACAATGCTTGAATAGAGTGAATTTTTCCCCAGGCACATCAGCATTCCCTGTGAAACGAATTAAATAGAAAAAATTGCACCTGCATGGCAAAATGGCAATAGAACTTACCTGTAAAGCTAGCTGACTTGGTTTCTAGTCCACCTCTGTCACTTTCTAGTTGTATAGCTTCCGGCAAATCACTTACCCATGCTGAGCCTCAATTTCGTTATTTAAAAAATGAGAATAATAAGTTATCTTGTTACTTCCTACTTAGTTTTTATAAAAATGAGATTAATCCCCACAAATCTAGTCAATTGCTCTTTGGCAAGAGAACAAAGTGAATTCAATGGAGAGAGGATAGTTTTTCAACAAATGGTGCTGGAACAATTGAACATTCACATACAAAAAAAAAAAATTAATCTAGATGCAGAGTTTACATCTTTCATAATAATTAACTCAAAATGAATCATAGACTTAAGTGAAGACATAAAATTATACCACTGCTAGAAGGTAATGTAGGACAAAATCAATGTGACCTTGGGTTTAGTGATGATTTTTTAGATACAACACTGAAAGCATGATTCATAAAAGAAAAAAAAAAAGATAACTTTGACTTCATTAAAATTGAAAACGTTGGCTTTGCTTAAGACACCATTAAGAAATGAAAAGAAAGGAAGAGAGAAAAGAGAAAATATTTGAAAAAGGACTTATGCTCAAAATATGCCATGAATAACAACAACAACAAAAGACAACAAGCAACTCAATTACAAAATGGGCAAAAGAATCAATGAGATTTTTTTTTAAAAGCATCAACAGTGTTATGTACTATGCAAGTGAAAATTTTTAATTTTGTAATACCACTAAGCAAATAATAATAAGTCAGTCAGTCAGTATTCTTAGAAATAGTCTTAACTTTTAGATGAAATGATATCAGATTTAACATTCTTTTCCCTTAGGGTTAAACTTATGTACCTCTAGTTTCCAGGGTGACTATTTTGTTTTACTTTGTCATCATTAATTTGAAATGTTATTTGCATTCTCTTACATGTTACAGCTTTATCCACAGTGAATTGACACTAGATTTATATTATTTGTTTCCTTGCCTCAGTTGTATTCATCAAATTATTAGGCTCAAACATATCTATTATGATGTATCCAATCACATCGTCACTTAATAATCTACTTGTTTCTCATGGAAATTTCTTTCTTTACTCCATTCTTGAATTTAAATTCTGCATATTACTCATTACTTTTCCTGCAATTTCCTTTTGTATCAAGTAGACATTGGCTTCAAAAAAGAGAAATGGGGAATATAAGTAGAAAGCAACAGCAGTGAAAAAGCACAAGTTAGTAACTAAAGTGGGAAAAGAGTATATTTCTCACACATTTATTGAAAATCTGACAACAAATATAAAGACTCTAACAAGCATTGGGGAGCTCTGGTAGCACAGTGCCTAAGGCACTTGACTGCTAACCAGAAGGCTGGTGGTTCAAACTCACCAGCCACTCCTCGGAAGGAAGGTTCCGTAGAGATACTGCCTCAGAAACCCAAGGAGGGGTCGAAATGAGTCGGGTCTGACTTGACGGCACATAACAACAATGACAACAAACAAGCATGGAACAAAGTTCTAAAGCAAAGACTTGATTTACTGTATCCCCCAGCAGATGAATATATAGTAATGCCAAAGAATATTGTAGCAAAGTTATTTTTCTGTGCTCCTACATTTAACCATGTGGATTACGTCTTTGTAAGTCTATTTTGGTTGAAGACATTTTTCATTTGTGGGAAGCTTGCATTTCTTAATAGAAATTAAGCAAGATCCTTTTTTTTTTAGTCACTTTTTTTTTTCCCTTGTAGCATCTTCTACTTTGTAACAAATGCCACATCTGAAACTGTATGATGCCTATTTAACAGGTGACTTTTGAGATAAAGAACAAATGAACAGGTTTAGAGGAAGATTTTTGTGTAATGATTGTGAATGAAAAGATGAGATCACTTATTAAGGAGTGTATTAGTCAGTGGGACAGAAATACACTGCAACATGGAGTTTCCTCCAGTTTTTGCTTATTTGGAGAAATTATGATATCTTCCTCAAGCTACACCCTGAATTGATAACTGAATAAATGAAGAAGGAAAAGGTGGCCACATAATGTGATTCTTGCTTCTGAGACAGCAGGAAGCCATGTTATGGACCAAATCATCAGCATAATGAAGCCTTTTAGGGGTGTGTTTATAGCTGGCATTTTCCAGTGATGCTATTACTGCAGTGGTATTGCTGAGGGGTGGGCTAACTGTGCTGAGATGTTCCCTAGTTAAAGCCAGTCCAGGCTGAGGTTCCAATACACGAGTAAATGAGAGAATGTGATCACATTTTTTTAATGTATCAATCATCTATTTCAATCATATATATATTTTAAAAGTATTTATTTTTATAAAGCATCTTCTCATCCCCACAAAAAAAGATGTGAAGGCATAGATGCATTAGTTTATGTTTTGGAATGATTTAGTGTTCATTGTATTACAAGTTAAAAAAAAGGGGGGGAGGGGGAGAGAAAGAAAACTTGATAAAAGTTAAAATAAGTAACCACAATTCACATCACAGGTGCTAAACAGTACTAGCAATGATTTAAACTCTACTCTTCCTTATGGGTAGAACAAAGGGAACAGACTCTGACTATAAGATTAATAGTGTTCATCAGTGTAGCTGTTCTGCACTGAGTCTAGAGAGAAACCTGCTGTAGATTCCAAAGGAGTCCTGAAGGACTGGACAACTTCTCCAACAGGGATATTTCTTAGAGCAGCCCAAGGGCATCATGCTAAAAAAACAGTGTGACCCAAGTAAAACGGCACATAACAACAGCAAGAACAACATGTTGAAAAAAAGATGCTCTCAGTCAGTTCTTACAGATAATGTATCTTAAAATTGAGTTTTTAAATAAGGATGAGCAATATTGTTTGAAACAATATTCTTTAGAAAGCACCTCAAACTCTCACTGTCGTCAAGTTGATTCCTTACTCATAGCAACCCCCATTGGGTTTCCAGGGCTGTAAATCTTTATGCAAGTAAACCGCCTCATCTTTCTTCCATGGAGCAGCTGTTGGTTTGAACCACTGACCTGTTGGTTAGCAGCTAAATGCCTTGACCACTATACCACCAGAGCACCTTTAGAAAGGACCTAAAAAAAAAAAAAAAAAAAAACTCTCTGCTGTTGAGTCGATTCCAACTCATAGTGACTCCTCCTTGTGTTTCTGAGGCAGTGTCTATGGAAGTAGATTGCCCAGTCTTCTTTCCATGAGGTTTGAACCACCAGCCTTCTGGTTAACAGTCAAATATCTTAGGCACTACGCCACCCTGGAGGAGGTAAATTCTTTTAGACTAAAGGCAAATATGTTCATTTTGCCAGTTGAGGTGAGAACAGGGATAATGATCCCTTACATAGGCCCATCCAGTCTTTATATGAAAAGGACTCAAAGGAGTGCCTAGGGCAGAACTAAAGGATGGCTAACTAGTGGAGTGTCAAACAGGAACAAAATATTTCAGCAAATTTATTATGAATATTCCCATGTTTAAATCTAGTAATGGTGTATTTAGCATGATTATCACAAAAGTAGCTTCAACATTTGCAACTTAAGTTGTATAGGGCATGTGGTAGGCTGAAGAATGGCTGCCCCCCAAAAATGTCCATGTCCTAATCCCTGGAACCTGTAAGTGTTACCTTATTTGAAAAAAAGAGTCTTTGCAAATGTGTCTAAATTACGGGTTTTAGATGGAGAGATTATTCTGGATTATGTGGAAAGACCATATGAAGAAAAAGACAGATTTGATATAGACAGAGGAGGAGAAGGCATGCACACATTACACACACACAGGGAAGAATGTGATATGAAGATGAAGGCATAGATTGGAGTGATAAAGCCACAAACCAATGATTGTCAGAGATTCTCAGAAACCACCAGAAGCTAGAAGAGGCAAAGAAACAGATTCTCAATTAAAGCCCTTGCAGGGGGCACGGCTCTACTGATATCTTGGTTTGGGCTCAATGAAACTAATGCTGGACTTCTGGACTCCAGAACTGGGAAGAATAAATTTATTTGCCCGGATGGAATTTGAAATTTCTTGGGACCAGTGACTGTGTCCTTCCTTCTCTTCTATCTTTTGTGAAATGGGAGTTATGTAACTTTTATAGTACACTATCCCACCATTATATTTTGGAAGCAGATAACTTGTTTTCTAGGTATACAGGTTCAGAGATGGAAAAGAATTTTGTCCCAGGATGAACCATACCCTGAGTTTCACCCATACCTGATTTAGATTATGAGATTTGGGGCTTTTGAGCTGATGATATGTATATGAGATTTTAGACTTAAATTGATGCTCTAATGGGTTGAGTATTTTGAGGATATTGGGATGTACCAAAAATATTTTACAAGTGAGATAGATGTGAACCTCTGCGAGACAAAAGGCAGACTGACAAATGGCCAACTAGAAGATAGCCACTTCCTAATTCCTAAAACCTGTAAATGTTCCTTTTGCAGAGTTTACTAAATTAAGCATTTTGAGATAGGAAGAGTAACCTGGATTATCCAGGTGGTCCCTAAAGACAATTGCAAGTGTCCTGATAAGAGACAGACAGAGGTCGATTTGATATAGACTGAAGAGAAGAAGGCACACACACAAAGAGGAAAAAAAAAAAAAGAAACTGATGTGAAGATGGTGGCAGAGATTGGAGTGAAGTGATCATAAGTCAAGGAATGCTGGAAGAGACAGGGAACAGTTTCTTCCCCTAGAGCCTCTGGAAGGAGCATATCCCTGGTGACACCTTGATTTCAGCCCTTTGTTACTGATTTTGGGCTCTGGATTCCCAAACTGTGAAAGAATGAATTTCTATTGTTTTAAGCCACCAAGTTCATGGAAATTTATTACAGCAGCCATGGGAAACTAATACAGGTTATTTATAAGAAGATCACACAGAAAAAGATTGTTGTTGTTGTTATGTGCCGTCAAGTCGGACCCAACTCATAGTGACCTGTCCTTGGGTTTCCGAGGCAGTATCGCTACGGAAGTAGATACTTAACATAAATTCTTCAGACTTCTTAAAATCATTCATAAAGGAAATAAAATGGTGGTTTTAAAAAGTAATATTTTGAGAGGGACAATATATTTTAACTAGTAATATAAATAGTTTTGACAATAAATATAACTTAGAGTACTTCTGTAGTGATACCACCTCAGAAACCCAAGAAGGTGTTGCTATGAGTTGGATCTGACTTGATGGCAGTGAGATTTTTTGTTTTTGTTTTATAATTCTGGCTTGATTTATCTCTGTGTTTAAGTTCTCATTCTCTTTGCATTATGTTGCCTGTCTTTGACAGGCAAGAGACCTCTCCATGATTGGCCCCATCATCCTTTGCCTGCTCACATGTATACTCCATAATGATAATAATAGGTAACATTTTTCAACAGTTTCTATGCTTGCTAGTGTGTCTACAAGCAATTTATGTATATTATCATATTGAATCTTCACAACAACCTCAAGAGGTAACTTTTGTTCTGCAAAAGACCTCTTTAACGTGCTGAAGAGCAAAGATGTCTGTTTGAAGACCAAGGTGCACCTAACCCAAGCCATGGTGCTCTCAGTTGCCTCATGCATGTGAAAGCTGGACAATGAATAAGGAAGACCAAAGAAGAGCTGATGCTTTTGAGTTGTGGTGTTGATGAAGAGTAATGCAAGTACCATGGACTACCAGAAGAACAAACAAATCTGTCCTGGAAGAAGTGCAGCTGGAATGTTCCTTGGAAGCGAGAATGGTCAGACTTTGTCTCATCTACTTTGGTCTTGTTGTCAGGAGGGACCATTCCCTGGAGAAGGATATCATGCTTGGTAAAGTGGAGGGTCAGCAAAAAAGGAGAAGGCCATTGACAAGATGGATTGACATAGTGGTTGCAACAATGGGCTCAGATATAGCAAGAGGTAGCTAGGTGCCATCATTATCCATTTCACAGAGGAGGCAACTGAGGCAGTCATAAGTAACTTACTGTAAGTCAGAAGCTTCGTATAACTGATGGAGCCCAGATTCTAACCAGTCAGACTGGCCAGGGTATACAGTATGCATACACTTCTATAGCCCCTTAGCATCACTAATAAGCATATGAGAACAAAAAAGGAAACCTCCTTCTTAGATGACATCTACCTGAAAAAAGTCATTTCAAGGACCTTTAATATTATATTTATTGCCTGACTTCTTACTATATTTAGTCAAATCTTTCAGAAGAAAGTATAAATAACAGTTATGTAGTGCTTTACAATTTGCTTTGCACAGCTGGATTTGTAAGATCACCTTTGTTGTATGAAAATTCACTCGTGGAAGGTCAAAGCATATGAATCACAATGAGTTTGCATTTACCTGTGGATGAATGGATTCATTGGTTTATAGACAACTAAAGTATCTATGAGATTCAATTTGTAACATCTGTTTCTATCCCATCATTCCTAATACCCTTGAACTGCTGCCATTCATTAGAACCCAATAGACATTTATTTCTTGCTGGAGTGGCATTGGAAGGGGTGAGTCAAAGAGAAGTTTCTTCACCTCAATGCCAAGACCTCTACCAAGTATGGCATGTTCTTCCTTTATTTTCATGGTGTAGTGGTCAGAGTCATCTCCTCAAGGGCTCACGTAAGCTTTGGGAGGGGTCACATGACACAGTAGGCACACCAAGCAGCCTGCTCCCATCAGCCAGATGAACTGAATCTACTTTGACATTCAGTGGGCAATAGATGCCAGAGCCAAGTAGCCCTTGCTTCCTTCCTGTTGATCCCCCACTGTCTTAACAGGTGCTTCTGATCATGTATAAGACATCTCATTGCCTCTCCAGGACCCAAGACATTCTAGCTGAAAGCAGTATTTCTTTTTTTTCTCCACTTAAAATTTAAGTATCTTCTTTTGGAAAGCATGGAGGGACTGTTCATATATATTAAAGGAAAAATGTAATTTCTTTAACAAATACACATATTACATCCTTTATCAGATGTCTGCCTTTTCAAAACTAAAGTATATTTATATCCTTTTCTAGTTTTATGGTTGTGGTAATATAGTTAATCTGAAAAAAAAAAAGAAAATCTTAGATAAAATTGTCTTAAATCTTCAAATGGAGTCCAGGAAATTTTGACATCATCATTTGGTGAATATTAAATAACTGTATTGTATAACATTATGCATTCAAATTTACTGTATTTATATAACTATCTGTTCCTAACAGGGAAAAATTGAGGAAGCAGTGAATGCATTTGAAGAACTAGTGCACAAGTACCCACACAGTCCACGGGCGAGATACGGAAAGGCACAGGTACTCTGAAACTCTTCTACTTAGAAATTGTGACTTAGGTGAGATCCACGTATTCTATGTAGTTGAATTTTCACTCCATATTTTTTTTTTGCATTTTCTCTTTTCTCCTTGTAATTTCTTTACAGAATCCATTTCTCATTTATGTATATGCATAAAACCAAGGGGGAAAACATTTTTAAAATAAGACAATTAATTATTGTTAATGTTTTCTGCTGAATTTAGTAACCTTTTTTTTTTCCTACTTCCCTCTCCACATGTTTTTTTCTGGCTTTGAAAAGGAAATAAAGATTAACACTTTTGAAATAGATTCCCTGTCACTCACACCCACAGTTCTCCTGATCATTTAGACTCAACCGTAGCTTTCAATTGAGGCTCCTGAGAGATTTTTTTTTTTTTTTTGAATAGTTAATTAGTGCTATATTTTAATATATGTATAATTTTTTTTTGTTAAGTTTTGTATGTGTATGTGTGGTGAAAATATACATAGAAAATTATTTCAGCAGTTCTTCAGAGACTTAAGAGCCTTAGTTTTTTTTTTTTTTTTTTTTTTTTTACACACTGAGGTCATAAGTCTTCTAGATGAGAGTTTTCTTATCATTTTTTTTATTTTTTATTTATTTATTTTTATTTTTTTATTGTGATTTGGGCGAAGATTTACAGAGCAAATTCACTTTCCACACAGCAGTTCACATGTATTTTGTCTCATGACACTGACCACAGTTTACCACAATGCAACAGCGCCCTTCCAACTTCCTCCCCATAATTACCTCTTCCCAGTGTCCATTCCTCCATACACTCCTGCCCCCTGAGCTGTCTCCCTGTGCAGCCCTTCTTTCTCCCATGATTGTTCTCTTCAAGGCGTGTATCTACTTGAGGTAAATGTTTAACTCACATGCCTGTATTTTGTTTGTCTGGAAACCACAGGTGTGGGTTCAATTCCAGACCTGAAGGGCAACTAGGGGCCATAGTCTCAGTGGTTCCACCAGAAGAGCCTTAGTTTTATAACTAGAGATTGAAATTATTATGTTTAAGAAAGACTTTTCTTTAAGCATAAAGTAGAATATACTTTATTTTCTGTTTTCTTTTACCCAGCAACCTCTCACTATCTCCCACTCCCACCATCACATTTCTTATCTCCATCTTCTTTCTCATTATTTTGTGAACCTTTTCCACATTCACCTGTAATTGCATCAACTTTCTGTGTGTGGGTACTGTTCTAGGCCCTAGCAATATCATAATGAGCATTAGAGAGATCCTTGCCCTCAAGGATCTTATATTCCAGTGAGAAACATTCTAAAAATTGCATGTTCAAAAGATATTTAATGACAGCCTACTATGTGCCAGGCCCTGTTCTAGGCACTGGGTTATGTAGATCAGTCAACAAAACAGATAAAAGTCCCTGTTCATATGAACTTTTCATTATAATTGGGAGACAGTACATCAGATAAATAAATAAATAGATGTACTTGCCAGTGATGAGTGCCAAAGAACACAAGACATATAGCAGGGACATGTTGGAATAGTGAAGGGGCTCACTAAGAAGGTGACATTTGAATAAAGCCCCAAAACTTTTTATTAAAAAAAGTATACTTAGAAAATATTATAAAATATTAAAAGTAAGTATCTCACTTAGAAAAATGATGCATGCCACAAAGAAAATAAAATATACTAAAGAGTATACCCCTTAAGATTTTTTGGCTACAAGTAATGTGATAGAAAGTGACAGGGCAGACAGCACTTTAAATGAGGTGATCACAAAAGGCCTCTCTAGGGAGGTGACATCTGGGACTTGCAAAGATTGTATGTAGAAGGAGCCGTCTATCCAGGCAAAGGGAAGAGCAAGCACATGTGCCATGCTGTGGTACAGGGAAGCAATCTTGATGTAATGAGCTTGACAGAAAGAAGGGCATATTGTAAGAGAGGGTAAAATGGCCTTACAGACTACAGACTTCTTACAGACTTAATTACAGATTTTGTTCTTACAGACTTTATCCCTAGTTCTTGGAAGCCCCTAGAGAATTTTATGCATGAGTGTTACCTGTCTAGTTGTTTTTTTATTAAAGTTGCTTTGGTTACTGGGAGGAGAATGAACTGTGCAGACAAAAATAGAAGCAGGAAAAATAGAAGGTCATCATGTGTTTGCAAGAGATGATGGTTGCATGGATTAGGATCATGGCCTTGGAGATGGAGAGAAATGGGCAAATGGTTGAGCTGAAGGACTTGATGATGGATTAGATGTAAGGGCAAGGGAAAGAGAGGGATCAAGGATAACTTCTGTGGTTTTGGCTTGACCACTAAGTTGATAAAGGTGCCACTTACTAACTGGGGAGACTGGTAGAGGAACAGGTTTGGGGACGTAAAGGAATCAAGACTCTCCTTGGTCTGGTTGAGATTGCGATGCCCATTCTATATTGAAATGGAAATATCAGGTGGACCATTGGATTTATAAAGTCTGGATCTCAGAGTAAAAGTCAGAGCTGGCTCTCCATATTTATCAGACAGTAGAGTTCCTGTGGTGCTGCTGGGGGAGACAAGATAGTCAACCGTCATGGGACACAATAAACGCAAATGTTAGAAATTTTCTAGCACCAAGGAGAGGCTCACTACACCCTTTGGAGAGAGGGACATGTAGGCACTTTGCATAACACACAATCACCAGCACATGTCTGGATGAAACAAGAATATTTGTTCTGACCATGAGGTAGCAACCACTCAAGAGCCAGATTCTCAAACTCTTCCTCTTTCCTCATTCAAATGTAATTAATTAAATTTGTATTAATTACAGTGTAATAAGTTTCTGACAAGTTAATGCACTAGCAATGAACACCTACAAGGAAAAAAAAAACCAGAAACCCATTGACATTTGCTCAGGACAGAAAGGGCCCTAAAAAATCATTAGAATCAGCATGATGTAAGCAAAATTTATTGTGAAATATGAAAAAGAGTTGGATAAATATAGAGAGATGCCCACCCCCTTCAAAATTAATGCAAGTAAGTCCCCCTTATCCATAGTACAGAGTAGGTTTAGGAGGGAGTAACTGCACCATGTTTATAAATTCATTTACTCCACCATTACTAAGTTGAATTACTATTAAGCAGAGTGAATGAGCTTATTACTAGAAGATTATCCCTATTCAAGTAAGTGATGCATTTTTTCACTAGTATTAATAGTCATTTCTTCAAAGAAGAATATTAACTGTAGAGGAAAATAATTCATGGTAATACTAATTATATTATGGCAAAAGTGTTTTCTAATTTAGCATTTTTCTTTATATATGATATTAACTGTGGATATTAAAGTCTAAATGAAGTACTTTTGAAACATGGTGGTTGCTGTATTTATGTCTTTACTTAACAATGGAAACTTAAGATACAGGCCTCAGTAAACATTTTTTCTTTTTTATCTCTAAACTGTTATGCTATAAGTTATTATTGATGTTAATGGTAATATGACATAAAGCCAGTTAGGTTTATGTCAAATGTTAATAGAATAATTTAAAAGAAGCTTCAAATTGAAAGACTTTTAAATATAAAAAGTAGGCAGAAGATAGATGTTATAGGGTGGAACAGTTTTGACTTCTTCATCTTTTATTAACAGATTTAATAACTTCTTTGGGAAACCCCAACATATTTTTTTTCCAAAAAATTAGCAACATTAAGTCAGATACAGACTAGAATATCTGTCATTTCTAGAGTAGCACTAATAAAGCTTATTCTTCAGATCACTATGAAAATCAGTTTTGACCAAGTTCCTTTAACATCAGACACAAACTCTTGAATTATAAACTCATTTTATTGTCTTATACAAACCATTAGTGCCTCTGAGGTAGAAAATGACACCTCTCTTAGGAAGGGTGAATGGATGAATTGGTTAGAGTCAACAAAAGGCCTTCCAGCATTTATGTCCTATAACAAATGTTCAGTCTCAGCTCAGCTCATTTTATCTACAGATGTTAGACTGATAAAAATCAATCTGTACAGTGTTCATTTTCAAAACAAATGCCTATCAGTTTCAGTCAAGAGATTTGAAAGAATTATATGCCATTTAAAACAGATATTTTCCCAATTCTGTAAATTATAAAATGCTTTTATTTTGTTACAATGAAGACCTTGGGGAGAAGGAGCAAAGCATATAGACTGTATTACACTGAGTTTAGTAACAGTATTAGATACTATCTCTACTTAGTAGCAAAGAGCACCTCCAGAAGACAAAGTAAAATATTATAATGAAATGTGCAAAGAGCTGGAGTTAGAAAACCAAAAGAGAAGAATATGCTAGGCACTTCTCAAGATGAAAGAACTGAAGAAAAATCTCAAGCCTCGAATTGCAATATTGAAGGATTCTATAAAATCCACCACTCGTCTGTCAGTTTGTCATACTGTGGTGGCTTGTGTGTTGCTGTGAGGCTGGAGGCTATGCCACTGGTGTTTCAAATACTAGTAGGGTCACCAATGGTTGACAGGTTTCAGTGGAACTTCCAGACTAAGACAGACTTGGAAGAAGAAAGGGGCCATCCACTTCTCAAATATTTGGCCAGTGAAAACCTTGTGAATAAGAGTGAAACATTGTCTGATATTTTACTGGAAAACCTTATGAATAGCCCTGAAACATTGTCCCATATAGTGCCAGAAGATGGGCCCCTCAGGTCAGAAGGCACTGGAAATACAACTGGAGAAGAGCTGGTTCCTCAAAGGAGAGTCAACCTTAATGACATGGTTGGAGTAAAGCTTTCAGGACCTCCATTTGCTGATGTGGCACAATTCAAAATGGGAAGAAACAGCTACAAGCATCAGTTAATAATTGGAACATGAAACATAAGAAGCATGAATCTAGGAAAACTAGAAGTTGCAAAAATGAAATTGAACACATAAAGATCGATATCCTAGGTATTAGTGAGATGAAATGATCTCGTTTTGGCCATTTTGAATCAGACAACCACATGAATTACTATGCCAGGAATGACAAAGAGGAATGGTGTGGCATTCATCATCACAAAGAA